TGTTGTAGTTCTCCACATTTCAGCTCCGTGAAGTAGAAACGACTGCCTTGATGTTCGTATGGAGGATTCTGATTTTGATATTGGTTGAAACTTGTTTTTGGTTCCATATGTTCTTCTATTGAATGAATGCGGCCTTTGCTTTTCCAATCCTCGCCTTTACGTCTGCATCTGAACCACCTTGTTCATCAATGATGCTTACTAGGCCTACTGATGCAGAGACTGCTGCTACACTGGCTGTCTTCATCTGCATCTGTTCGTGTGTACGTGATAGGAGGGATAGGTCATCTGCGAAGTCCAAATCGTCTAATTGATTCTGAGCTGTCCATTGTATTCCGTGTTTTCCTTCAGATGTCGAGGTCTTCATAATCCAGTCGACCACCAGAAGAAAGAGGAAGGGAGAGAGTAAACAGCCTTGTCTGACTCCGGTCCTTACTTGGAATACATCTGTCAGCTGTCCTCCATGCACTACTTTGCATTGTAGTCCGTCATATGAGTTCCTGATAATATTGCCAATCTTCTCAGGAACTCCGTAGTGTCGAAGAAGTTTCCATACCGTTCTCCTATCTACACTGTCAAATGCCTTTTCATAATCGATGAAGTTGATGTATAGTGACGAGTTCCACTCAACTGATTGTTCGACGATGATCCGTAGTGTTGCAATTCGGTCTGTGCACGACCGATCCTTACGGAATCCAGCTTGTTGATCTCGAAGTTGTGCATCGACTGCATCTTTCATCCGGTTCAGCAAAACTCTGTTGAAGACCTTCCCTGGTATTGACAGTAGTGTTATGCCTCTGTAGTTTTCACATTTGCTCAGATCTCCTTTCTTTGTTATATTGACGAGGTGCCCTTCTTTTCAGTACATCGGCACTTGTTCCTCCTGCCAAATCTTCATGAATAGAAGGTGAAGCATGTTTGTAGTTACTCCGATGTCTGACTTCAGTGCTTCAGCTGGTATATTGTCGGGTCCTGCTGCTTTCCCGTTCTTGATTTGTCTGATGGCCATTCTCATTTCTTCCGTCGTTGGTGGATTGACATCTATAGGAAGATCTGCGTGTCCTGCTTCGATGTCCGGTGGATTCATTGGAGCCGGCCTATTCAGGAGTTCCTCAAGGTATTCTACCCATCTGTTCCGCTGTTGTTGAATTTCAGTGATTGACCTGCCTTCTTTATCTTTGACCGGTCTCTCTGGTTTACTGTATTTCCTAGCTAGTTTCTTCGTTGTATCGTAAAGCTGTTTCATATTTCCTTCTCTAGCAGCTTTTTCCTCCGTCGTTGCTAGTTCTTCCACGTATTTCTTCCTGTCGGCTCTAATTCTCTTCTTCACTTGCTTGTTTGTTTCCATGTATTCAGCTTGTGCTTGAACTTTCTCTGCTCGTGTTCGGATGTTGTTAATTGCTGTCTTCTTGTTCTTCCTTTCTTTGATCTTGTCCAGTGTTTCTATAGAGATCAGTTCCTTATGATGATGCTCCATGAGGCCCAGAACCTCTTGACATTTTGAAGTCAATGCTTCTTTGATACCTTTCCAGTTGTCCTCTATAGTAGTTTCTCCTTCCTTCAGTAGATGCTGTAAGGCTTGGGACCTGTTGTTGAGAGCTATCTTGAATTCACTGAGTCTGTCAGTATCTCGAAGGAAGGCTGTATTGAACCTTTGTAGTGCTGTTTGTCCAGTTGTCCAGTTCTTTTTTAGCTTCAGTTTTAAATTGGCTACAACTACGTGGTGATCTGAAGCTACGTCAGCACCTTTCCTGGTTCTCACATCTTCCATTGTCCTTCTGAATCTTTTGTTGATGCAAATATGACCTATCTGGTTCTCTGTAGTGTGGTCCGGTGAGATCCATGTAGCTTTGTGTATACGTTTGTGTGGAAATATTGTGCCGCTTATGACCACATATATTTGCAAATCCTTCCCTATTTTCGTTTCTCTCTCCCAGTCAGTTCATGTCGTCCCTTGATATCTTCATATCCGATGTTGTCTATTCCGACTTTGGCGTTTAGATCTCTCATCAGAATGGTAAGGTCTTTTCTTGGGCGCTTCGCTATGATTGACTGCAGCCGCTCGCAGAATTGATCTTTAATGTCATCGTTGCTATCATTGGTGGGTGCATAACATTGGATAATATTGATTGTGATCTCCTCCTTCTTTGTTTTGAATGATGCTTTGATGATTCTGGATCCGTGAGATTCCCATCCTACAAGTACATTTCGTGCTACTTTGGACAGCATTAGAGCAGCTTTCTGAGTGCGTAGAGCACTTTCCTCTTCGTGACCGGAGTACAGCAGCATCTCTCCCGTATTTAGCCTTTGTTGTCCAGCTTGGGTCTAACGGGTTTCACTGATTCCCAGTACTGCCAAGTTGTATCTGCGCATTTCTTTTTCTAATTGACTGGTCTTCCCGGTCTACCACATTGTCCGGACGTTCCATGTACCTATAAAAATTGTTTCTCTGGTTGTTGAAGGGGCATCGGCCTCGTGGCTTCCGAAGGAACTCGGCTTTCACCATGGGGCTTCATAGTTCTTCTAAATGAGGACCTTCTAACTTCCAGGATAGAGTTTAAATGGTCCGAATTTTATTTTCTGGCTAGCGTTTTTTTAGCGAGTTAGTTTTCTACGGGATGGGTCGCTAATCCCATGCCTAACCCTCCTCATTTACCCGGGCTTGAGACCGACGGTAACTCTAGAAGAGCTACACGCGGAGTTGGAGTGACTTAATGAATGCTAAAAATTCGTATGTATGGAATTATATATATCGGACACTTTCGAAAGCTACAAATTACTGTAGGATGAAAGTCATTCTACACAGATGATTTTTCAAACACTAGTATGATTGATATTTAGACCAATAAAGCAGTTATCGGTACCGTCCAGGAGAGCCATTGTCTGGAGACGAGTTAAAGAAAAACACTAGTTTTCTAATTGGTGAACAGAGTGGATTCCCAGTCTTCAACAGTGTCGAATGTTTTGAGAAGCACAGTGTATTGCCAGAAGTTCCCTTCTGAAAATGTTATACACCACCTAAATGTTTTTCAGCCATCTCGAGAATATCAGTGGCTTCAAAGTGTCCTTTATCTTTGTGTGTAAGATTCCCCTTATCGATAAGTTGGATTCATCTATAGGCGACACTAATGAGTGCTTTGGTGTCGAGGTGTGTAAACATAGTTGACTTTTTGATTCTGCACTTCACGGTGGGGAATGAATTTTTGCGTATAACACTGTTAGTCACACACGGTAAATGCAGTCGTGTATTGTACAATCCAGAATACTTGCCGAATATTGGTTGAACTATGGATTGATGATATGTTTAATCGTGACCGGGGATGACATGCAACCCACAGACAGACAATTTAGGACTTCTGTCTACTAACCTTCGTTTGCTTAGGTTGGCAAGTAGGTCACAGCATTGCAACACAAATAGAAATCCAAGTGGATGGGTTTGAATAAACACTCGTTAACGTGAACGTATGTTTTACTATAGGTGGCACTCGGTTTTCCGTTTGCTGCCTGGTCATTGAAGACCGTATCTTGTGAACGATCACTAGTGTTCGTGGGAACTTTGGCAACGTGTGCTCCAGTGTCGATGAGATAAAGAACCTCTTCACAACATCGTTGGTGAATATCCACCAGCTACAGTTTCTGCTAACGCGTGTCAAGGGGGTTCGAAAAAGGTTTTTGTACTGAAAGATTTGATGTCTTGGGAATTGCAGGGTTTTCTGAAATCTTACTGAGACCTACCATAGTTGCTGTTGTTCGAACAACAGTTAAGGTTATATGTTTCTAGCGATTTGAGAATAATTTTTTTGCGTAATGAGCTTCTTTAGGGGAGTTTTGGATTGTCTTAGATCATGCTGGATGTTAAGATAAGGAATAATAGTATTACAGAGTCCTTTAATTTCGCTTTGTGTTCACTTGGGCATTCGTTGGTATAATAACCCTTGCATTCTATTGATCTTCATAATTTGATCGTCAGATTAAGCTAGTTCATTCACAGCGTTATTCTGGAGTGAAACGGGAACCGCTTGCAATTGTTGGGGAAGATTAGATAGAAAAGGGTGTCCAAGAAGGACCTCCGTTAGAGTTTGTTGACCAATGACCTATCTCATACGTAGTAACATTTGTGTTGCCTAGAAGTGCTGCATTTCGATACAGTTGAATGGCCGGTCTAACCTTGTCGACCGGTTAAGTCTCTACGATGACTCCTAAAAGCATTGTAAAGTTCAGAAAATTCACTGGTAAACATACTAGGTGTGACATACCTGTTGAGCCAGCGCGGTAGTGCCTCTACTACATCTGTAGGTCTGTCACCTCGTATTCACGGAAGTCAGATTCCGAATAGTAGAACCAGTCCTCTCTATACCAGGCTATGATACTGATCAGCTCAGGCTTATTCTGGCACAATAAAATCAAGATTTGTAGATATACCGAAAAATCTGAGGACACAAAAATAACGTTATAATGTGAAAAAATATACACACAATGTGCGTTGAGAAACAAACACAGTTTCTCGTTTGTTGAACAAGATCACGCCGGGCTCATCACTCAAGATGCCACGGAAACTCAGTGCTTGAAAGCTTTATTGTCCGCAACACCTCTAAAACTGAAGATCCTAAAGCCAGCCAGATTAAAACTAAAGAGTGAAGGGGTTCGAAAATATATTTGGAAGATGGTTGCTGTGTCGACATGTATATAAACTAAGCTGAGGGATGCGCAGTTCAGCGTAACCAGTAATGATCTGTTGCAGATTCGTGACTATGCGTCTTCAGCTGGAGTGTTTTAAGTTGAATACTCACAGAATTATTTGTTTTGAAGATTTGTTTGCTGCTACAGTCTAAATAATTCAACATGCTATTTCCATTCCGAATGTACTGTACAGACAGAAGCCGTAGCTAAAATAAAACAGGAATAAAGGATACAGAGTTTGCCATTTGTGTGTTTTATGACTATAGAGTACAAGAAGTGTGTATCTTGGACCATATTATTATAACCTTGACGGGGTTTTGAACAGTTCGACACGTGAAAAGTGGGACAGGCAAACCGTTTGAGGTAGGCATTAAGGAGTTTTGGGAAATTGTATATGACTTGTCGTTTCTGGGACTCAGGCTATTAATTGCAGTGTCTTATCTGTATAATCGAATACTATTTGTACGAAAAATAAATGATATCTTTCTTATTGATATAATTTATCTTGGAAAAACTGGAATACGCGTCAGTAATGCAAGTTGTTGATATAGTGTTCCCTATGTACATCACGTCTCACAGAGTGATTTATCAATCGAGAAGTCACATATTGCCTGCCTCAATTAACGGCGTCAGGGCATGTACATAGCGTCAACAGACTGCACAATTGTGCTGTAACTATGGTGACATTACACTCGCTACCCTTACTGTCTTAAAGGAGGCAGTGTTTCTTAGATATAAATGACAAATTTCCTCAGTTTCTGTCTCTGATTATCTACACTCTGCTGTTGTTTTTCAGTACTTATGAGTCATTGCTATTTCTCTGTTCACTAAGTGGTTGACCCGCCGAAACCAGTCTATTTTTAGCGGTTTCTTAATGTAACTTTAAAGCGGCCGAAGTTTTTTCTTTTGCTGTCATTAGAGCTGATGTAGCGGTAATAATTTCACTAGGTGAAAACATTTCCCATATATCCTTAATTCTAGAGGGGAAAGTTTTCGTTACTAACTACCTATCGTTCCCACTGAAGTTGCCAACCTAAGAAATATCTATCTCAAAATACTTCATTTGGCTTGGACTTGTCTCTAAAATAGCTGCGAATGGCTCTCAGTATTACAATGTTACGGTACAAATACTACCAACACGTTGGTGAACTTATGACTTTCCTCAACAGATGTTCTAGAAGAGTATGGATATTATTGTCAACTTGAAATTGTGTAGTTAATTGTGTCATGTGTTCCTTTGTATAGTAAAGCCGATAGGCCTGGCGCCAGCACTTTGCTATTCTCAAGATTTGAAAATTTGACTCGTGGATTGTTGTACCTCGTTACATCAAACTAAAATCTTCGAGGGACCTGCTTCTGTTCCCTAGTTGTAGACGAAGCCATGTTTTTATTCTAAGCGTCCTACATATCGAAGATCTCTTTCATCGTTTAACAGTTTCTAGTCGATAATGTGCTATGATCATCAATTCACTACTGATGATAGCATTTGATTTCTTACGAGTATATACAGTAGGAATCACTTTTATTATTTATAGGTTGTATCTAGCGATGGAATTCAGACCATATTGTTTTACTTGTCCTCGTCAGCTTGTTGTGTTAGCATCAGTGTTGATTTTCACACTGGTATTCGAACACAGTATCTGTCACTTCAAACGTTATTGCGTTTTTCACTAAGTTGCTAAGTTCAGGAAGCCACTATTTTCCCACATCTTATGAAGTTATTGATAAGTGTTTGTGCTATCCCGTTGTTGATGTTGCCGACTGTAGCCAAAACCAATGCCAAAATAACTCGCTCACAATACCAATGTAAATTAATCAGTTCCACCCCTAATAATAACGGGATAATGTTAAACCTTTATAAGTGATTAAAATTATATGATAGCGAACATCTCGAATCGAAGTGCTATGTGTTTCAAAATCTACTACTTCTTATCAGGTGTTGTAACTGAGATATGTAATTTCAATTACGACATAGCCTTTTGTGGTCGTTTGCACTATCCTTTTTATATGAGCATCACGTATACTTAGCAATACCAATGTCATCAATCCTTACTCTTTTCATAGGAAGTGAACCAACCGAGCTTTTTGATCACTTCATTTATACTGCAAATCTCAGCAAACCTTATATCTTAGTAGGCGTTGAAATATCTATATCGACACAGAAATCTCATTCGGCTTTTATCGACCTGCACCAAATCGGTATGTGACATGAGTCTACAAATTTGTTGTTTACTGGTATGGTGTTGTGACCACTGTATTTTCGTTAGTCGATTGATGAGACCACTTTACCATTATCTTATGTCAAGTTGATTACTTTGTACGTCATCCAGTTTACATGATTGACCATATTTATTTATTCATTTGAACACAAACATTGGTGCGAGAGGGCACTAGATGCATGTGCCACACAGTTATCAGTAATTTGTGTGAGGGCTGTGATACTGCCCGGGCGCCCGAACCGAAGCAAGTAGTTTCCTTAGGGAGCCCTACCTGGGGCCTTTGATGTAGATGTCTAATCCATAAGACAGTGAAGCAGAGTCAGAAGATGCAGTTCTATGGTAGCTGGTGACCAACAGTAGGCTCATACGTCTTTTGTTCCCTCAGGATCCTGGAACCCATGTGCACTTTTTGTTTGGAATCAAGTTTTTCTAACTCCACTAGGTGGACACTTCGTGTCCACATGACTGAATAAAAGGTACATCGGTTGGTCATAATGATCTATAACTTCATTGACTGACATAATCGCGTTATGACTAACATAGGTCACTCCAAGATTTAATCACATTGTGGACTCGTAAAAACGGCTTGGCGTTCATGACGACGTAGTAATCAAACTAAACAATCCTTATCTCTATAATCAGAGATTTCAAAGTTCCAAATTACCTAACTCTGATGTTTACTGTTGAATCTCGTTTTTAGCATATAATCGAAACTATTTTCAGTTGCTACCTAAATTCTTTTGTAGAGTTTTGCTCTAATTGACCATCGGGTGTTGATAATTGAAGTCAACTATAAACTCTTGGTGTTGGGAAATGATTGATTTAACGGAAGAAATAACAGAACCGTCATCCATACACATTACAGATGAAGATCAGAGAAGAGCTGGTGATATTTTTCTGGATTATAGCGTATTTACCAAACCCGTATATGAAACACCAAAGTAAGTTCGGCAAGACAGTTTCAATTTAACTGTAACTTTTACACTTTTTCATTCATTTGTAGTGGTACTGTTTAATGATCACTTACTTTGGTTTCACTAAAGTTCTTACTGCTTTTTTCACTTGAAACTCCTAAGTTCATGATTTGACCCCGAAAACTATACGCAGTAATATGTATATATATATATATTTCAAGACATCCTATTTTATCTTCCAAATGTCGATCTCATGATAAAAGAATAAGTATCATACAGAACCTCATAGTAACCATTTAGTCGACAATAATAACAGATTTTTTTAGGAGATGAAAAGCTTCCAAGAAAATGATGTTGCAAAGAAAAGCTCAAGTGGTAATGATGTTTCAGTAAAAAACCACTTACCATTTATATCTAAATGATAAAAAGAATTCCATTACATGGTCGTCACATTAATCGTTTCTGTTCAGTTCTTGTTTGGTTCGATAAAAATGCCATATTAAATATCGTAATTTGTTGTTAGTGAAACTAAAATTACCATCAATTCCGATTTCGCAACTAAAATTGTATACACTTGTACATTTTCGTTTGTTGTAAGGCCATAAATACAAGAATTACAGTAGTCTAATTTGTTACAGTTTGATTTCTAATGTCACAGTTAAAAAAATTACAAAATATATTGGTTTATTTGTAACATCTCTCATTTGTCTTCAGACCATAGAGTAACGAACGCTGAGTTTACGTATGAAGCTTAGGGCGATATAAGTAGTTCAATCCCACACATTTTAGCCGTCCTCGCTTATAATTTTCTCTTATCGGTTTTCTCTTTACACGGTTATAAAATGTGATAAATGGAGTATATAGAGTGGATTGCTGAGCTTCACACTGTTTCAGTCAAATGGTAGTCATAGTTTTGTGATTCATTCTTTTATTTCAGAAAGCCACAACCTAAACAAACCGGAATTAGAAATATTATGATTACATCAGCATTGCCTTATGTAAACAATGTACCTCATCTGGGCAACATGATTGGATCGACCTTAAGTGCAAGTGTATTCGCTTTGTACTGTGATTTGGCTGGATATAATGTGCTATCTATTTGTGGAACTGATGAATATGGAACTGCGACTGAAGCAAAAGCAGTCTCAGAGAATATGACTCCTCGTCAGATCTGTGATAAGTTTCATAAGTTGCATTGTGATATATACAAATGGTTTCAAATTGAATTCGATTATTTTGGACGAACTACTACTGATCAACATACCGAGTAAGTTGTCCAAATGGTTTTTCAAATGGAGTCAGTTATAGTTAAACGGATCGTAATTACAGTTGAACTTTGTTACGCGTTTGGATGAATAAGTTTAATTACTGGGGTATATTAGTTTTTATTGTTGAAAGGATTGCTCTGATTATTATCTTGACGAACTAAAATATTTAGTTCTGACGCACGACCAGTTCTCTACTCATGTGTCTGCCATTTTGAATAATGTTTAAACCTTCATAAACAAGACTTCAATGAGATTTACACTCTTCGTTATACCAGTTTAAGCGTAAAATTACTTTATTAGGTCGGTTTTTAAAATACTGCAAAATTTTTGTTCATTCCATTTACCTTCAATCATTTTTCCAACTGTCTCCTCAATTTCTTACTGTTATTAGTTCCAGTCGTTCCACACTAATCTTAGTTTTCCCAGAATATGTAGCCAGTCTTGATTGTTTAAAATCTCTGAAATGAACTCGACTCCTGCAATGTCAGTGCTTCGAACGTTCTGGCTTTGTACCAATACTTGGAACAGACATCACTAACGAAACTCCCCAAATCCATTTCTCTGGATGCAGATTGTGCTTTTCAAACCCACACATAGACCTAAGTGTGAATACACATTTGATCGAGACCTGAGTATTGTGGTGGTACGGCGTGGTTCACTATTCATATATTTCTTGAGGTCATGCAAGAGAAGGTTAACATTGATTTTGGAAACAGAAAATGTACTTTAAGTTTAGTTATCAATGCGCGCTTCCTAATTAAATGACATTGTAAGAACTCGGGAAGATTGGGATACACTGATGTCCGTTTTGTATCTTCTGCTTACTTACATTGAAATTTAAATGAAGTAGACGATAAATTCTTAAAAAAGGCTAGACACTTAAGTGTCCAGTCACTAAGTCAGTCGAATTTTATGTCCAAATAAGTAGACAAGACTAAATAAGTGCCATGTTATCAAATGGATTAACTGCAGTGACCAATTTTTCGGGACAATCCATCCTCAATGCTGGTGAATAGTGGGGAAATATATAACTGTTCATGACCACACCATAGTCCTCGTCGACCTAGTGAATAAAAACAGTGGATATTAAATATGTGACCAAAAAACTCGATCTTAAATAAATGAGCCTATGGTTCAGTACTGAAATTATTCTGATCTGACTACCGGTAGTAGCTCTCCTGTGTTTCTTTCCAGGTTTTCACACTTATTATAAGTCACAGTTCGTCTTATATTTAATCTTTTCATGTTATTTTAATTTCAGCGTAAAATACCTGTAGCTAATGGTATACTTTTTTTTCCAGAATAGTTCAGGAGTTGTTTAAACGCCTGTGGGATAATGGTTTTATCACTGAAGATTCTGTTGAACAGTTGTATTGCGAAAAATGCCCAAAGTAAGATTTTTATTCTAGGTTTCCATCTTCTATTATATTTCAAAAATTAGTTGTTATAAACAATAAATCGAGTAATGAACAAATTTAAATAACTTAACCATCGGGTCACGTTTGTAAATCTACTGGTTATTTTGAACTGGAAACTCAAGTTCAGTCAGTCAGTAACAACATAGAACTTCGTACGTACGTACATCAGTTCGAGTTGCCATACCACATTAGCACAGGAAACTCAAGTTATCCCCATACTACGGGTTTGGCTTGGAAATAAAGGTGCACTATACTATTGAATCACCTGAAATAGTATAAATATTGCAGATTAAGCAACAGAATCCATTCATCTCCAAAAACTAGACAGTCTTAGTGGTGAACTGTTCTAGTTTATTTTTCTCAACTAAAGGTTACATTGTTGTTATTCTTAGGCTTAAACTGGAAACTTTTTTCGGTTGAGTTATAATAACTTGTTTTAGTTGCATCATGTAAGCTTCCTGAAAAAGCGACCTATCAGTACAAACTTACTTAAACACTAACATTTAACTGTTGTTAACAATAGATGTAACTCAAGACAAATTCCGGAAAGTGTTGAATACCACCGTTTTATTGACACTAACCGAGGAACTGCCAAAGATGAGAACCAGTTAATCATTTACCTCATTGTTTTGTAGCTATCAGAGTATGGATCGTGTTATGACTTTGTCCGGCTAGTTATCACGATTTATCCACCAATCAAAATACGACTTATACAATTTTAGCACTGTGCAAAGTCAATGACGTCCGACCGGTATGAACAGCCTAGCGTCCTTATTGGTCCTGTGTCCATCTAGCCCGTCCACTTGAGTCCAGAATACCAATACCAGCTCCCACTATGCGAATCATATATTTCAGACATACTGGGTTTATATATCAAACAAACAGACCGCAACGCACCATAAAATAGGAAATAATATTCATACACAATAAAGCCAAAAAGTAGCTGTGGACGTGGGAGGCAGTAGTCAATAAACTGAACATAGCTTAAGAACAGTAAATCGTACAATAATAAATTATAAATCAAAATGAAGTTTATAACAAGGGGAATATAGATATAAATAATCTAGTTACTGAATATTTATACCATGAGAATATATCAATAATATTAGTCCATTAATAGTTCTCAGACGTCACTCGTAATGTAATCTTCACCAGGATATAACAGATCGTTAATCTCCCACTAATCTTCAAAATCTGTCGATAACATTGGTTTGAATTTCTAATATAGTGAGTAGAAAAGTGGTTCATATTTATGCTGCAATCACCTTGATAACGGGGACTATTTCCAGTAGTGTGATTCTGAATACCAATCATTCACCTGTCTATCTAATTCAACTATTTCCAAGCCGATTACTTAGTAATCAATCAACTATTTTTTGTACTACTGCAACACTGTATGAGGGCCACATATATGAGGTGTGTTTTGTAACTGTACTACTCATAAGTAGTCGGTTTGTTATCGTATAGTTTTCATGTTGTATTCCATTTTTTTAAACTTTTTTCATTAGTTCATACATTTTGTATTTGTCTTACCAGTGGTCATTTTTGAGCTTGTCTGTGCTAAGGGTTGACTGTGGTTCCTGAGTTTATCACATTAAATATGAATTTTAATCGAAGTTAATTGATATTTACTTAAAACTTGCCTGTAGCTATTCTAGGGTTACTGCTGGTCCCAAGCCCTGGGTAAAGAAGGAGGGTTAGGCATGGGGTCAGCAACCTCACCCGGTAGAAAACAACCTTGCCAAAAATTTCTTACAAGTAAGAACACTTTAAACCATGTAAATTCCATCCTGCTAGTTGAAGGGTCTTCATATAGAAGAATCATGACGCCTCATGTTGAAGGTCGATATTCTGAGGAAGTCACGAGACCGATCCTCCTTCTTATAACCAGAGCAACAATTGCATAGGTACTTGGAGTGTCCGGACAATGTGGAAGGCCAGGAGTACCAATCAAATAGCTGCAGAAATGAGATACCATTTGAAGGTTCTGGGAATAACTGGAACCCATTGGACCCAAACTGAACAGAAAAGGATGGATTCGGGAGAGATGCTGTTGTACTCTAGTCACGAAGAATAAAGTGCTCCGTACACTTAGGTAGTTGCACTGACGCTGTCCAAAGAATCACGTAAATCACTTATAGGATGGGAATCTCATGGATCCAGAATCACCAAAGCATTCTTCAAAGCAAAGCAAATGGGGATTACAATGAATGTTATCTAGTGTTATACGCCTACGCCTAGCAACGAAGACGATAAGGATCAATGTTATGAGAAGCTGCAGTTGATCGTAGAGAAGTGCATGGAGAGGGACCTGACCATTCTGATAGGAGACAACACGGGTATGAAGATATCATAGGACGACATGAACTGACTAGGAGAAAGGAACAAGAATGTTGGGGGATCTGCAAATTTATGTACATTCAACAAAAAGTTATGGATGGTACTATATTCCCCCGTAAACGCATACATAAAGCTACATGGGTCTCACCGGATCACACTATAGAGAATCAGATCGATCACATTTACATCACTAAAAAGTTCGGAAAATCCATGGAAGACGTAAGAACAAAGAGAGGAGCAGACATGGCCTCAGGTCACCACTAACTGGTGGTTACCAAGATGAGACTAAAGCTAAAGAAGGATTGGACAACTGAACAAACAGCATTACAAAGGTACAATACAGCCTTCCTTCGACATAATGTTAAAGTCAACCAATTCAAGATAACTCTTAACAACAAGTTCCAAGACTTATAAGATATACTCAACGAAGAAACTACTATGGAGGACAACTGGAAAGGGATCAAAGAAACATTAACTTCAACGTGTCAGGAAGTTCTTGGACGCAAGAAGCATCATTATAAGGAATAGATGTCAATGGAAACCCTGGATGGGTTTTAAGAAAGGAAGAACAAGAATACAGCAACTAACAACAGTCGAGCAAGAGTACAGACCGAATACACAAAAGCAAACAAGCAAGTGAAGAAGAGCATTAGAGCCGACCAGCAAAAATATGTTGAAGACCTAGCAATGACAGCGGAAAGAGATGCAAAAGAAGGGAATGTGAGGTAATTATATGATACAATGAAAAAACATGCAGGGAAATATGGTGAACCAGAGCGACCAGTCAAAGACAAAGAATGCAAGCTAGTCACTGAGATTCTAGAACAGAGGCACTACGGATCATTGCTGAGCAATTAATTGAACGGAATTCGTCACTGTATATCAACTTCATTGACTAAGAGAAAGCGTCTGACAGTGTGGATAGGAGAACCCCATAGAATCTTATTCGATAAAATGGTGTACTTGGAAGGATCGTCAATATGGAGTTCATACAACAGACTACAGTGCAAAGTCGGGCATGGTGGACAGCTGAAAGATGCATTTCAGGTGAAGACCGGTTTTCAGGAAAAGGCTGTTCCCTTTTAGCTTTTTTCTCTCTTCTGATGGTTGACTGGATCAGAAAGATCTACACATCTCAGTGGGAGCATCGAATAAAATAGATAACTTGAATGCAAATAGACCATTAGGACTTTGCGTATGACTTAGCTCTTCTGCCCCACACGCACTAGCGAATGCAAGTGAAAGCAGCCAGTGTAGTAGAAGCCTCTTCATCAGTAGGCTTTAATATGCACAAGGGAAAAATCGAGATCCTGAAATACAACAGAGAGCACTAATCAAGTCACACTTGATGAAGGAGCTCTGGAGGAGGTGGAAACTTTCACATATCTGAACAGTATCATCAATAAATAAGGAAGATCTGATGCATATGTGAAGGCACGGATTGGCAAAGCAAGGACAGCATTCATACGAATGATGAACATATGTAACTAAAAACAGCTATCAGCCAACATCAAGGTAAGGATCTTCAATACGAACGCCAGAACAGTTTTATTGTACGAAGCTGAAAGTTGGAAAACTTGTATAACCCTGTTCGGAAAGGTACAGGTATTTGTAAACAGCTGTTTATGTGAAATACTAAATGTCCGTTGTCAGGATACTTTCAGCAACAACGTACTGTGGGATAGGACAATCCGGATTCTAGATGAAGAGGAGATTTGGGAAAGTGTTTAGAGGTGGATAGGACGTAAATTGCAAAAGCCATCAGATTGCGTCATGAGACAAGCGCAAACTTGGAATCTTTAAGGGAAAAGGAAGAAATGCAGTCCAAGAACACATTGCATCGGGGATTGGAGGCAGACATCGAAAGAACAAACAGTAACTGGAGACAGCTGAGAAGGATCGCTAAGTACAGGGTTCGGTGTAGAATGCTGGTGGGCAGCCAATGCTCCTATAACAACTCTCCTACAATCAATTTCGTCCGCGGTTAATTTTTTCAAGCCCTTATTTAACAAACAGTGTTGTTCAAACAGTAACAGTTTGTCTATTTCGTCGTATTATTATGATCACTGTCATGTCTGTATAAACATATATCCTTGAGTCTTATTAATTGCCTTCGCTTCGATTTGACTATAAATTATGCTTCTGTATTCTCACACATATGCACATTAGCCTCTCTGCTCCAATTCGCTCGATGTATGTTATGTTCCGACAAGAATAATGAATGGTAACCTTTGGGATCTATTGATGGACCAATACTAGACGTATATTTCTATTGTATAATTATTAAGTAGCTAAGCTATGCATACTTATATTCCTCTTATTATAAGCTTTATTTTGACCTATAAACTATTATTATACTCAGTATATTAATTACTACCTCCCTCATTCACAGCCACATCTGGCTAATTCTTGTACAAATGTTGTTTCATATATTATTGGTACGTTGTGGTCTGTTTGATTGGTATATAAACTCAGTATGTTTGAAATGTAATGATTCATATCGCATAAGCTCGGATTGGTGTTCTGGACTCAACTGGCTAGGATAGGTGGAAAGCAGGACCATTCAGGACTCTAGGCTGTTCGTACGTCTTTTACGCGTTCTTGGTTCGATCGATAAGTCACTGCCCTCTAACTGGCGGTCACAAGTTATAACAATGTATTTGTAACTTGATTATCTGCGCTATCCAATACTAAACTGTAGTCATCGCTTCTTGTTGCGTTCTGAATCCATACACCGTTGGGATTTGTTTAATAACGGTTATCAGGGTGATTGACAAACAAAACCAAGCCAATACACTCCTCCACAAAGGGTAACAGGCGTAAGTAATTATAACAATTCATTGCTTAAATATATTCCTATATTAATATATCGGGAAGCAAAGTCTCCTGTTTTTATTTTATTTTGAGTTCGTTATTCCAGTGAATCTCATAATTGGTACCATATATTTACCAAAACTGAAGTAGGTGGTGTGAGTTTTTGAATTTGTTCGACCCGGTAATTGGAGTTAAGTGCTTCACGACCATTAAGCTACCTCTTCACTGCATTGTAACTCGGTAGCTAGTATACTATCAAGTGCGGTTAGTTATGTTAAACACCAAATGCTTAAAGATGAATTTTGACCTGGTTAACCGTCGAATCATATAATTCACTTATAAGAGTACTAATCCGGTAACATATAGGCGACTGATCGAAAACCAGTCAATCCATATTTTCTCTCAATAACAACAAGTCTATCAAACAAGGTTTTTCTGATCGATATAATTAACTGCAAATATGTATGCTTGAATTACTGTTAGATTATTCCACTATACAGTAAACTGTTAACATAATTTTGATTTTATTCTAAAGATTTCTTGCAGATCGTTTTGTTGAAGGAGTTTGCCCTTTGTGTAAATACGATGACGCACGAGGTGATCAATGTGATAAATGCGGGCGTCTCATGAATGCTGTCGAATTAATCGAACCACGTTGTAAGATATGTTGTCAAAGACCCGTGGTGCGTTCTTCACGCCATTTGTTTCTTGACCTTCCAAAGGTAACATTATTACTTTTGATTTAAAAAGGCGTTTATTTTAGATGCTGGCATTCATATATTTCACACTAATCTTACTTAATAATTTCTAATCATTTATGTTATATATCCTAATATTCTGCGTGCGGTTTTTTAGCAGTACTGAAAGCATTCGATTTTTTAACCACTGGGATTCAAAATCGAACTCTGCTCTTCCTAATTCGGTGGTTACTTTCATTTACAGGCTAATTAGTTGGGGTTCGTGCGACTAGCGTAACCAATCTTTGGAAACGTTAGGTGATGTGGTCCAGAATCGTTTTCAGTGGCCCAAATTCATTCATCCCTTTTCTTTAAAACTACCCCAAACTTTTGACCCGTGGAATTCAATCCTCTCAAATCATATTGTCTCTACCTCATCTTTTCTACTGCCACTGATACTGTTACTATTCCTACTATGGTATTTGTGTTAATAATATTATCTCGCTGTGCGGATTTGGTGTAAGTTGAACCGGTGCACATACGTGTCATATTCTAGGTTATTATTATTATCATTAGTGGCTTTATTCAATATCATATTTTCGGTACAGTACAGAATTCTCAGCACAAAGTATTTCAATACGTTTCCTTTTCTTATTTCTTGATTGACCCTTGTGATAAATATTGAGTGGTCACCAGTTAGATGTTAGCAGTTCAGGAATCGATATCTGATTAATATATATATTTTTCGATGCATATTATCAGCAACCACTATGTCTCTGATTGGGCTCTTTTGTAACTTGTACAGCGAAGTGTCGTAAACTTCTCACAAACGCACCTGAATAGGTTATTCGATCAATAAATATAATTATGTATAAAAAAACCCAAGAAAACAGATAATTTGTTGAGATCTCCGGATGACAGGATATTCAAGCAGCTTATAAGTAATGAATTAGGGGATAGCTTCGTTAGCTCTTTACTTCTCCACTTACTGAATTATATTAATAAACTGGCCAATTACTATTTCAGATTGAAAGCAAGTTGAGTACATTCGTTGAACAACGTATTAACGATTCCTCTTGTATATGGACCTCAAATGCTTGTACTATATCAAATTCATGGTTGAGAGATGGTTTAAAGCCAAGGTGTATTACACGTGATTTGCATTGGGGTGTACCAGTTCCATTGGAAGCTTATAAAGATAAGGTAATTGACTGTTTGTATATACGTACATACTATTAACTTTTGTGATGATTACGTGATAATATTTTCATTATCATTGTTTTTTGCCAATATTTTACTATCTCATTCTTTGTTATCATAAATCTAGTTAACTTATGAAAGAGAAATATTTTGAAGCTTAGTATTATATCCACTAAGTTGAAGAGAGATTTCGGTATGAAACTGTAATAGTTTCAATTGTAGAATTCAAAGGTCGTGTGGTTTATGCATTCCCTACAGTGCTTGAGGATTGTTTAAGAGGTGAATAATATAAATTTATAGTACCACTATCATCTACTAGTTGGTTATAGCAGGTTTCTAAAATAAAATTCTTTAAAATTCAGGACTTGTGATATCATTGTTTTTTTTAAACGTACGACTTGTGATATTTATCATCAATCTTAATGATAATAATAATCATAAATATATAAGTAGTAATTATTGAATAAGTTACTAATCACCAGTTCAGTCTTTTGAGAATCCAAATTTAATTCATTGTGTTACAGCTTAACGACTACTTCATATGTTTCTTTCCATCAAGAGGAAGTAGAGAGGGTGTTATATTCTCTCTTACGGTGATGACCAAACTATTCCTATTGCTCAGTATTCTTGGACACCAAATCACTCGACAAGACCCCAAATCAGAACACGGTTCAACAGGAAAGAGATTACATTCCAAATAACAAGTTTAGATGGAAGCAAGAAGCAAGTATGTAGTGCAATAGGGAAAACGCTAGTATATTTATAGTTTTTCACATGAGATTTCTAGAGTGTTCACTAAGTATTGGCTAACACCGATTGGATAAGAATTAGCCAATCAGTGTGCATCAAAGCAATCGTGCATTGAGCGTGCTTTAATCCAGTCTATGTCCCGCTAACAGTGGGTTACTTGGTAGTTAAGTCAGTTGACTTACAACCATTTAGTCGAAAGCTTGAACTTTGTTGTACTTCAGTTCATGAAGTCGTATAATATTGCTCCTCCTCACATAGGAAATTATGCCTCAGAGCGGAATACATATACATTTACTTGGTACATAAATTACTCAGTAGTAATGATTAGCAGAAGACAGATTATATTGTATAATGTTTGCAACAACTCTAAACTTTTTCAAATAACAAAACATTCTGGTGAAAATAAATTATTTAGGCTTGCCATTTACAAAAAACAATTCTGACTTAGCGTTACTAATTATTAAGAAATGTCTAATTTATCATTGTTTATCATATCATTCCATTTATTACAACTCTTCATTACATTTCACTATTGATATGTTCTATTAAATTTACAAACATTTCTGCTCATTTCCGGTCACTTTTATTTATCTTAATCTGAAATTTACTCCCAAATGTGTTTTATGAATTGTTCATTTCATCCTGAACTTATAAGTCTTTCATTATTTTCAAGGTGTTTTATGTTTGGTTCGATGCACCTATTGGTTATATTTCGATTACGGCAAATTACACAAAACACTGGAAGGAATGGTGGCAACCATCTGATGACAGTGAAATTGAATTATTCCAATTTATGGCAAAAGATAATGTTCCATTTCATGCTATTGTATTTCCTTCATGTTTGTTAGCAGCCGATGCTGGTTATACTCTCGTAAAACATCTACTTTCTACTGGTAAAATTCATTATTGTTCCATTTTTAATCATCCAAGCATATATATTATGTATTATATACACACAACAACTGCTTTTGATTGATATTTATCTGGTCCTGATTAAACTCAGTACTTTAATGGTTTTTAAGTACACAACCGATGTCGTTCTAAAATTGTCATAATTTTGAAATGATTTACACCTATGATGGCTAAGGTGTATTAGTGATATGATAGTTATGTTTGGTGACTATTTTTTCTCTCTCTGGATGATGTATTCTAGTATTCATCTTATCAAGATAATTCCTGTCTATCTCAAAAAGAAAGACAAATATCTGTATATCATTCTGGTTTATTTTTTTATTTTAGCACATAAATGTTGGTACAAGGAGGCACCAAATACATATGCGCCACACAAATCTCATTTGATATGTGTGAGGGCTGTGATACTGCCCGAGTGCCCAAACCGAAGCAGGATATCATTCTGGTTGACTTAATGAAAGCTTTAAATGTTATTTGTAAACAACTTTGGAATGAAATTATTTATCATTTAAAAGATAGATGTTTATTTATTTAGTTAGTCAATTAATCATAAACAACATAGTATCTAGCACAAATTTTCATAAGATCAAGTTGCTACAATTCACATATCCACACCGTAAAATGGAATTAGTATGTAAGATCAAAGGTAAAATAATTGAAATAATGATTGCATTAGTGACAGTGGAGATTAAACATAGAAAACCTAGTGGTTGAAACGTTGAAATAATAAGAGATTTCAATATTAGACAGTACTCCATATAACTGCACTCAAAAGTTGGTTAGATACTTAACTACGTAACTCAAACCAATGTTTGAGAATCAGATTAGATCAACCAATAATTTATTGACATAAAGATACAATCAATCAACATAGGTTGAATCGAAATTACATTTAAAATTATCTCTTTTATTTAGTATAGTTAGATATATCTGTCTTTGATCATTAACCAATCATATCATAATTTCACTGACACATCACTATTTCATAAGGAGTACATATAATCGAAAAATAAAATGTTTAAAATAGTAAAATATCCAAATTGGACATTTTAAGATTCGATAGCATGAATGCATCTGTTTAAGTGTATTATCACCTAAAGTAGTATAAATCTCAATAGCTAGGTATTACAAGCAAAATTATAGAGTCATTCTTTGATTGTCTACATAAATTCACTGAAGCTTTCCCAGAACTTCATAACTGATATTCACAACTTGATTTTATTCAAATTTATGCCAGTATGTGAATACCATACTTTTAGACGGTGTGTTGCCGAAAATGGATAACAATTCGTAAATTATATTGTCATTGTATTTTATAGGCAGATAAATTTTATTCTCTGTACTCTGAGTGTAGCGGTAGACTTTGTAGTTAAGCGATTTGATTTTCAATTGCTAGGTTACAAGTTTAAACGTTATCCCTCATCCATTTTTCTTTAGAAAAGGAGATAAGATTACTAGTTTTCTGACATAACAGTAAGACTCTAAGTCAACTACGTAAACCCATATTCCTCGATAATATGAATCATATTAAAACTAATTAAATTGGGTTACATTAATGATGAATGTTTTATTGACAAATAATTCAATATAATCAGAATGGGTTTTGTGGAAATTTTTAGAAATTCCACAGGTTGAAATCATGAGTCAATTTAAGCTAGACCACCATGGAAAGCCTGGAAGCACTGGACGGCCGTTTCGTTCTAGTATGGGACTCCAGAGCAGTGCGCATCCACGATTCATTATAACTTTTTGTACTGCTGTAGTGTGTGCTACTGATGTCGACAGATATAAGTAGTATGTATCATCAATCAAAAGCAAAATGTCTGGTAGCAGAAGGTTAAGAAGATGAGAGAAAAGAGAGTGACAACAAAGAATGATTGCTGTGGAAACGAAAAAACGACGGATTCTGAGACGGATGACTGATATTTGCAAAAGGAACAGTCAAGTTTGAGACAATTGATTGACATTTTGCAAGTGAAGTATTTACTGTATAGTTTTCCGATTTTACTAAGGTGTTCTGTAATTTTATGTTCAAATACATTCGATTGTCCACACTTTTGTCCTCGTTCACTACACCACTTTTTCCGTTGTTTTTCTCACTTTAAATATTACGCTCAGAGTATATGAACTATGAAAATACCAAATTTTCAAAAAGTCGTGGAATTGGTGTATTTGGTGATGATGCAATGAAATCAGGTGTTATATCAGATGTTTGGAGATTTTATTTACTGTATCGTAGACCTGAATCACAAGTTAGTTATATCTTATGTATTTTTATTTGTTGAATTAATGGGTTTGTGAAAATAATCCGACTTGAGAAGTTTTTATCCAAGGCCAATTATTAAATATATTGGAAGATCTGAACAAACAACTAGGTTACACGAGAATCTCCGAGATTCAAAATAAAAGAATTTATCCATAATGCGGTTCTGAATTTTAGACGTGTATGTAGAGTCTGTACGTGTCAATATATGTTATATAAAGAAGAATACTTCTGTAATCTAAGTAAAAGCTCGTATCTATATCAAAATAAACAATTGCTGTCAACAATCTAAACAGTAACCAAAAATGCGAAAATTGGAAATTTGTATACTTAAACAAAGGTTCAAGAGTGTTTTCATTATGTTATGATAAATAAATAGGAGGTTACAAGTTCATGTAAACGGTCAGTCATAAAATTGAACAACCAAGTTGAAATTTAGTTCCTGAATTTTAACAAGTAGTATAATGTAATGTACAAAAATAATCCAACGGTAAAGAAATGAAGATGAGAGATATAAAGATTTAACACTAATATTAACTGAGTGAAATGACTACCTAGTGCTTCCTGGCTTTTTTACGGTTCTCTTTAGTTAATACTAGTGCTTGATGAAAAAGCCGCTCCAACTTTAGTAACTGATATCGTCCTACATTTTGGATAAAAGTTCACAGACCTGATTGCATAATGGTCGTAACACTTTTCTGTCGTTCTCAAGAGTATGAAATTCTGTATAAATGACCACACTATTGATAACTATATAGTTACATATCTGACTTTCGATTCTGTCACACTTGTTCATATGACAAAACCAAGCGTATAAATGTTCTGGGTATCGTGGATCAAAAAATAGTAAACTAACCCCTTGTTCATTATCACGTTCGCAGTACAAATTAATAAACGCTTACTTCCCCTCCGTTACTTATTTATTGTTTGTTTATTAATTTAATTATAACTTATAAATTTCAGTACAATAGGACACCAAAAATGCACAACATTAATGAAGTAGTAATAGATGAGTGGAGAGCAGTACAATTTATGAATGGGTAAAACAGAATATTATTTGGAAAAAGAACTAGTTCAGTTAAAAAAGAGCCAATAAAAACTTTTTTCAGTCAAGGGAGATAGTCTCAATTTTACGAAGAAGGGAATAGAAAACTGCGCCATGATCGCCATTGGCTTGTATTCTGAATCATATCTGATAAAGTTTCTAGCCACTAACTGAGTTGTTCAATCTCTAGAACTGTAACCGAATAGTCATGATGGACCAATCCATCCCAAACGCATATAGCTTTCTTACTATAATGCGTCGTCGTAAACTAATCACCACTCACTCTCCACATAGTCCCAGCGTCGACAAATAATGTGCAATATAGAAAATGCTGAGATATGACATTCGTGAAGCATATCCAAGCTACTAAAGCTACTGTTCTTAGATGATAGTACCGCAAATTAAATTATTGTCACTGTGTTACCAAACACTTATTTTCAAACGCTCGTATAACTAAAATGGTTTTTTTCTATAAAAGTTGGAGTAATTTTGTATTTATTTATTATACTCCTTATCTCAGTATAAGCGTACATTTAATTATTCGGATTAACCTGTATTAGGCACCTAATTTACCGAACATTCTGACGTTTTTACTTAAAACTTTAAGTAGATAAGTTTCTGGCTTTTGTTTTGAAGTGAACATTTTGTAGCGGTACTGATTCACTGAAAATTGTTATTGCAAGTATTATAAAAGTATATATTTACTATAAACACAGTAAGGAATTAGGGATAATAACATGTCTAATGTATCACAATTGTTATGATAGTTTTTTAATAAAAACATGAGCTACTTATTAAATAATGACGATATACTATAGTAGTGTAGATGAATAAGAAATTCCTTAAAAATAAAAAAAATATGTATTTAGAATTATTCAAATCTCATGGAATTCTAACAGATTATTAATTTGATTTTGTATAGCATCATATAAATAACTAACCTCAACTGGAGTGATGACAACATTCATATTACATTACAAATCAAATAAAGTTGTCAAATGTTAATTATCTTAATTTAACTTTGTAGTTTTAATGTACTTTATTCTTCAGAAGTATCTCATCTAGTTTATGTAAAGAATTGGCATCATATTTTATTTGGTAGTTGGATAATAAAAACAAAGTATATTTTCACTATACTCTAGATTTTTAAGAAAATTCGTATCGTGATGAAATTGTTGTTTGTAATAATCAATATTCAAAAAGCTATCCAGTTTTGTGATTGAATCGTTTGTCAGCTTAGTATTTATGTACTGGACTTAAATCTATGGTAGTTAGTGTATTTGTTCTTGCGAAATTAATAAATGGGTACCAGTTTACTCCATAGGCGATATATATATATATATATATATATATATCCTCTGAAAACAATTTAATATTTATTTCTAAATTGTATACAGTGAATATAATTAATTTAGGGCTATAAAATTTTCTAACATATTTCACCTTTTTGTCCCTGGATATCATCGTTTTTCTAATTTTATAATTCATCTTTTTACAGGATAGTGCTTTTATCTGGGATGATTTCATGTTGGTAAATAACTCAGAATTGTTGAATAATTTAGGTAATTTTGTTAATCGGTAAGTTTATTATCAATCCATCAGTTTATTATTTGAACTTTATCGGGAGGTGGTAACTACTTGACTGGTGTCCTTGAGTTAATCGTAATTTATTATTTTCTACAACAAATTCAGGTTATACATTCCACGTGCTTCATGAAGCTGGAAGATTATCATTAATATATATATATATATATATATATATATATATATATATATATATATATGCGAAAGCAAGGATCACTAAACATCCGTAAATATAATCTTGACACCAACTGTTTATAATTTAATGGTGTTTTTATCAGGTGTACTACGTACATTATCTGAATCAAGATTTATTGCTCTTAGTACTGGATAACAGAAATAGTTTATTTGTATTTCGATTTGTCCGTCGTAGGATATGTGGAAACTTCTTAGTATGTAATATTACAATTTATTTGTTAAATTATAATCATCTGTTTATTAGTTTATAATTAAACTTCTATCACTATCTGTTATTTACCTATACATATATACCAAGTCGATTTATCTTAGCATATTTGGTATGTACTTAGAAGTCGGATTCAGGACGCATGTTTCATCCTACTCTAAACTCGTTAACCGGGTTCAGTTGTATCATAACTGTAGTGGCTAACACAATGAGTCGAACCCAGTACCTTTCATCTAAAAAACCCAACGCCGTTTTCCTCTCTTTTATTGAGTCCAGATAGCTACTAACTTGTTCAACGATTATAAAAGCATTAGTAATGGTTTTTCAGTTCTCCGTTGCTTATATTGACGACAGGAAATGATTAATATTCATATTGTGCTGACAGAATTAAAAAAACTACTTAAGTAGAAATAAGTAGTGCCCAGCGGTGGAATCCAGGACGCTCTCAAGATGCTTATATGTCATAAGAGATTAATCAATTCCAGTCCTTAACACCAACAACAAAAGTATTCCAACCTTTACGGACAATTTTATATGGCTTTGATTTGCCTAGAAGTGCGTTTTGTTCGATCGGCGATATGTCAGCTAGATTCCACTCCTGACTACATACTAAATATATTGTAATTTGTTATAATGCTGTTTAGAGACAACCTACTCATGATCTACATATGATGATAGTGACTAATCAATTATAGTTATAAATATCGATAGTGAGAAATTCAAAATTCGTACTAATACCATATCGATGTACTTTACTCCAGATAACCGGAGAGTATGATTGTTTCATAGTTACATTAGTTTGATCAATATGAATTCTCACATGGTTAATAAAATCACTTTGAATTAAAATCAATGTTTCCTATGACTTACTACTGATTAGTTAAGTCGACATGTTTTTTCTCCTCTAATTCTGATCTTGCCAGATCTCTTTCTTTTGTGTCACGATTTTTCAATTCGATTATTCCATCAATAACAAAATTAGAACCGGTTGATAGGGAATTTTTGGCCAGAATTAATAAACTCTTCGCTACTTATATGCGCAATATGGAGTTATGTCATCTTCGAGATGCTATTCGAAATGTATTGACAATTGCTCGTCTTGGTAATGGTTACTTTCAAGCTAATCAACCGTGGGTCGCTGTTAAAAAACCGGAAACAAAGTTCGTTCATATCTTTTATTAAACTAAATTATATTGATATTACCTTCCCTTGTGGTGTAATTTTTATTTATTTATTTAAGAGGAATTAGCTTTTCCAATAATTAAACAATTTGAAATCTAAGATGCTTAGGTCTTTACTGAATTGAGTGCTTTATATTTACCTTGGTATTAACATGTTGACCAGTTATGATATTAAAATTAACAAAGATTTTCTCTGGTATTCTGAAACTTTCCACAAGGAAATTCCTATCATACACATATGTGTGTCAGCCTACTTAACGTGTTCCACTATGGTTTTGCCATTCAAAGCGTTATTTCAACATTAGTCAAAGCCACTTGTATGACCAACGATTTTTTGTACATTTCCAAAATCTCATCTCTTTGTTATCTTAAACTTGTTTATATGATTGTTAACCTGGAACTTACGTTAAAATTATTATTTGTAAAATGGTATGTTTATTCATTACATTAAATGCAAGCGAATCTATGATATAGTATCTGTATATTTTTATTGAATACTACTCTAGTGACATTTATATTTGTCAGTAAACTCATCACTACTTGTTTAATTCAGCGATATAACTAGGGAGATCACTCATAATGTTGTCACTAACAGAACAGGGAATAGTGTCTATTGTTTGTATCTCTTCTTTTACATATGCGGTATACGTTATATTAAAAAAATTAGATTATGTCAGTGAGTTTCCTGTTTTTATAGTCATAAAGTATTTATTGTGCATATTATCATCAAAAATTCCAACCTTAAGGAAACTCCCGGTCATTTGATTATTGGTAAGCGTTTTTGCATTATCCATCGCCCAGTGTTGCTATATTCTGTTGGTTTTGCTATGCTATTTCAATTGGATATGTCAACTGATGGTGTGTAGACACTCGATTTTTAACTATTGGGTTTTTTAATCTTAAGATCGACTAATATAACAATAAATTATTAGATGAAATTTGCAAATTTTATTATATGTTTAATCAAAACAGAAAGGCACATAATATTTTTATTACATCCTGAAATTTTTTAGTCTTGGACAGTTTTTCGCATACATACGTTAATATTTGAGTAGTTAGTATTTGTTATATAAACTGTAATAAATTCTCAAATATAATATTGTGTGAGATAGTTATTTAAAGGCTTTAATAAAATCTTTCTAATTATAATCAACATTTACTTTCTGTATACATGCTTTTGGATTACTTTCAAATTATGTCACACATAAAAACATTTCAGACAGCGTTCTGGTGTTGTGATAAGCGTTGCTGCGAATGTTGCTTGTCTTCTTGGTGCTATGATTTATCCTTACATGCCTACAATTGGAAAACAGATCTGGATTGAGCAGTGTGATCTTCCGGAATCCCAAATGAGTTTCGTGCAGATTATTAAAAATGAATTTACAGTGAAGAGGTTGTTACCTGATGGTCATCGTATTGGAAAGGTTAGTCATATTTGCATACTTTATATTTTCAGAGTTGTAAACAGACATAAGTAGGATATGATCAACCACAAATACCCATCAGCCAGAGGAATAAGAAAGCTGTAGCAGTAGGATTGAACCGAATGAGAAAAAGAGAAATATGCAATTTCGAAGAAGGATTGAAAGGTGTAGAGTGTTACAATACCTCAAATTTATAAGATAAATATTAGGTAATTATGTACCGTTTTAACAGATTTTACGTCGTAGCAACATTTTTCAGCTATAGCAAGTTGGCGGAAGCCAAGATTGTGTCAATCACCAGACGCCTATCTATCTTGGCTGACTGCACTTCTAAGGCAACTGATATTCATCTCTTTTTACCATTACATGAAGTATTTTTGATGCATTTGATTATTTATTTTGAATTTCCAAATTACTAGGATAAATTGCACTGAAAGAACTTAATTTTCTTCTTGTTTTGTAGCCAGTCCCTCTTTTTCGGAAAATAGATCCTGATGAAATCAAACGTTTGTCTCAAGTTTACAGTGGTTCATCTGCTGCGTCTGTGACTAATGGAAATGAGCCGAAGTAAAAGAATCATTAATGTATGTGTGACTTTACTGTGACAATTAATTTATCAACGTACTTGTTCTAACTATTGCTTCACCACTTATGTACTTTATGGAATACATGTACCTTTTAAAGCATTACTTTGTATATCCTACTACTTTTGGCGATTAAATAAAAATTTGACCCTGGTTTTATAGACAGCGCGATTTAAAATTTGATTTGGCGTTACTTTAAGATTCAACACCTCGCACAGACAAATTGGTCTAGCAGTTTAAATATTTATAAGTTATGTAGGAACCAGTGTATAAAACTAGCGAAGAAATATTCAGGTTTATACGTAAGTATGACAAAGTATGAACGTTTCGGTCGCTAAATCTTGTAATATGTAGCAGATTGTATTTGTGTATAAATTGTGGTGTTAGCAAGAAATGATATTTATCTTGTTATTCGTTACAAAGTTTTATTAGAATTGCGGTACATCACTTCCACGTGTGTAATATATCAATTGGGAAAATAGCTACATATTCAACTCCGTGGTCGTTCAAATGGTAGAATAAATACATGGAATCTCAGATGAAAGCTTGAGCAATATCTAGTTGCTTATCCCGAAGAGTTCGAGTTGGTTACATTAATTAAGAGGTACTGAGTAAGCTTGGCTTGCAATCCGTGAGAAATTATGATACACTTTCTAGTTTTCACAATTAGCTTCAAGCTCAAGGTGGTAGAAATCTTCCTTAAACTGACAATGAAATTCTAGTAAAACGACTATGTCCATCTAGTGCTTCATTGATCGTAGAGAAGTGCCTGGAAGAGGACCTGTCCATTCTGATACCAGACAACATCGGGTATGAAGATATCATGGGACGACATGGACTGACTAGGAACCTTAATAGCAAAACGCAACATATTTTAACCTCATATCCATAGAAAATTGGAACACAACTATTCTTAGAGCCTGTGGATCATGGGATCAGATGACTGACGTACAAAAGACTTGTTTAAGTCACATTTATCTGGTTATCGCTTCTAAGGTGTCTCTCACCTGTTAGCTCTTTGGAGAGTTTCCACATACTTGTAACGTTTTTGCGAGATAGAAGTTCCTGAGTAAACACTGAGTTCAGACGCCTAATATCTAGTTTTGCCAGACTACTTAGCTTGCGAACTTCAATGGAGTTTTTATCCTTGTATGCTTACTTTCTACCCTTCATATTCGCTTCAGTTAGGAAGACATAAGTTAGTCTAAACTTACGAAAATGGTTCCGATCGGGTAAAAAATATCAAAACATAATTTAAGTTAACAAGTGATAATGTTAACAGCGTTTTCCGATGGGTTATCTGTAAATAATCCCCAATCGGTCGTACGAAGTGTTTTCCGATTTCGGATATTTTGTTTTCAGCAGTTTCTATATTTGACTTCGTTTACCTGATGTAAGAGTGTACCCTTTCCAAGCTTGCCATAGACTCTAGGTAGGAGTGTAGTGTATTGGTACTGGTTCTAACCACACAATACTCGGAGATGAACATAAGATGACTGAGAAAATTCACATTAAACATCTAACACGGTGGAAAAATCAGTAATATATATATATATTCTGAAAGTGATAATTACAGAATTCACGCTAGTTTACAGACATGATCAATTTGATATGAATAGTAACATAACATGTACAGAACAAACATGTGATAAGAGATAGTTTTAGGTATACTAGTTCAGTAATTGTTTAGGTAGCACATGTATTACAGCGATCCAATGTATCAGCCAGGAACTTTTAATTTTTCTTAAATGGACAGCCTGTTGATTTCTGAACGGTGTAATTAAGGTCATTTCCTGTGCCAGATCGAATGATTGCTAATTATCTACAACTATAGAAGTTGAAGCGAAAGAAGAGCACGGAACAACAAAGCAGTCATTACCAAAATATGTCAATCACGTCTGCCAAAATGCATGTGACACAGTGATATACTGTTGATGTTATTCAAATTAGTTAAACTTGCTAGGGACGGTGTTAACATGAAGTGACAGCAAGTAGGTGGTTTTACTTACGGAATGCACTAATAAAATTGGCTAAACATTTAAAGCTCCTATAATATCTATTGTGGGATGAGATACATTTACAGGTGCTACAACATTCAATGCATTTTCAGAAGAGCAGTATATAGCGAACTAATAATGGGAGTGATTTTATCGTACGGATAGATTGTGGTAGATTATTTCAGATTCTAGAAAATTTACAGGCAAAGTAACTCATATAGAGAGATGAGTTAGAATAAGTTTGTTTCACTAGTGACAAGGAATTACGGATGTCATAATGAGAAGTTTCTGCATATTGAATCACTTGATTGAGTGTAAAGAATTCCAGCCTCAGTTTATCCTTTATGCGCGCACTGCTAAGAATAAACCTGGAGTATTCTAGAAGTGGTCGAACATTAACTTTGTATATTAAAATACGTAATGTAGTACGCAGCAAAAAATAATCGAAATGGCATGACTTGGTCGTACAGGCACGGTCATGTAATCTCCCGCTTATTGCATCAAATGTATTATTCCCTCTTCAGCTCGGATGTGTTCGTCAAAAGTGCTAGGTACCATATCGCCGATTATCATGATAGACAATGCCAATTCCACGTAAATGGTCAAATCATAACATATCTACAATTAAGGGACTAGGTTTATTATTGTAGTAGCACTAATACCGAAGTAGACCATAATTATACGGATGTGCCTAGATGAACGTGACTTTGCAGACGACCTAGCTCCTCAATCTTATACACCAACAAATTCAAGTAAAGAGTAGAGGATATTCGTAGATTACTATTATTTGATCACAGATGTTTTCGAAGCACTGCTCCTTTGTTTTGGGACTACGGAGTGCTAAGTAAAGATTGAAAATCGATTGATGATGTATTCAAACTCTAACAACTAAGCGTTTGGGATATATGTAACGTATGCCCGGTCACTGCATACTTCAAGGGGCTATGATGCCTGCCGCAGAAGTACGTCGAAATGAAGAGAAGGGGGGCCAAACCAAAACATGGCATCGGTGCGCGAAGTCATTATCAACTGTACTGAGTTCTGGCAATCGGTAGGTCTCAGTAAACATAAGGGAAAATCGAGATCCTGAAATACAACAGAGAGCACTAATCAAGTCACACTTGATGAAGGAGCTCTGGAGGAGGTGGAAACTTTCACATATCTGAACAGTATCATCAATAAATAAGGAAGATCTGATGCATATGTGAAGGCACGGATTGGCAAAGCAAGGGCAGCATTCATACGAATGATGAACATATGTAACTAAAAACAGCTATCAGCCAACATCAAGGTAAGGATCTTCAATACGAACGCCAGAACAGTTTTATTGTACGAAGCTGAAAGTTGGAAAACTTGTATAACCCTGTTCGGAAAGGTACAGGTATTTGTAAACAGCTGTTTATGTGAAATACTAAATGTCCGTTGTCAGGATACTTTCAGCAACAACGTACTGTGGGATAGGACAATCCGGATTCTAGATGAAGAGGAGATTTGGGAAAGTGTTTAGAGGTGGATAGGACGTAAATTGCAAAAGCCATCAGATTGCGTCATGAGACAAGCGCAAACTTGGAATCTTTAAGGGAAAAGGAAGAAATGCAGTCCAAGAACACATTGCATCGGGGATTGGAGGCAGACATCGAAAGAACAAACAGTAACTGGAGACAGCTGAGAAGGATCGCTAAGTACAGGGTTCTATGTAGTATCCTGGTGAGTTTCGGCCTATGGTCCTCCGGAAGGGGTGATAGGCTCAGACGAATAGTGTGTAAGATAAATTGATATCGGATATAAGAGTATTACATAGTGCGACATATATGTGTTATTAATGACACAGGAATGCTACTCTATATTTTGATTAGACTACATACAAATTGTTCGATAGGTAATACTTACTTTTATAATGATACGGAGTGCTTCCAATTTTTAGAATGATTCAATTCACAATCAAATAATGAACAACTCCTGTCAAATCAAGCAACACAAACAAAAACGAAAGGAATCAATGTGGTTGTTGCTATAATCAAATATCAACTGAAATAACACAAATAAATCTCAGGAAAAATGGAAATTCAGTAAAGACTTAAGAAAAACAAAAACTACGATAAAATGCAGATTTTGCCATTTCAAATAGAATTAAAAGATCAACAAAACCTGCATCTTAAAAATTCGGAAGATTGTAACACAAGTATGCACGTTGAAGAATTTTTATATACACAACTTTCAAATATAATACTACAATTTAAAATAACTAGAAAGGATCACTCAGGAAGGATTTCAATGGGGACTTTTGACGAACAGCCGATGCTTTTCTGTGAGGGCTGATACGCTTAAGTAAGTACCACATTTATCAACCACGGTGTCATACTAAATTAAGGAAATATGACCAAGTCCTAGCTAAACTATTCTTGAAGTCTTATCGACCTTCAGATTGAAAGGCTGATCATCCAACGTACAGTCGTTGACGAAATGTAGTTCGGATCAAGGATAATCAATGTGGAAAAATCAACTCGATGTCATAGATGGCCCATCGTGGCAAGGTTATGTAAATTAGGTCGTCTCTTTAACTTCCGCACTGATGAAGCATTGACGCCAGTGAAGTGTTAGATACTTGTTGGTCGCTTACATGTCAGACATATGCTTCATCACAAAACTATTAATATGGGTTGATCAGGCGACATGGTCTGTAGAGTTGGTCGACAAGACCTAACAATTAATCTAAAATAAATCAAGTCAATAAATCTGTATAGAACACAAACTGTTTGCTTATCAAACACTACTCAGGCTAAACTTCACAATCCATAGCTTCGTAAGCTTGATTTGAACCATTGCCAAAATCGCTGATGGAACAATTAAAAAAACAATTGTTAACAAATTTGCAGTGTAAGAATTCGGGTTTCGTTTTTCCTTATACATACACATTGTCCAAAGAACACAAGACTACAAACAATCGGCCATGGAGAAAGTCTTATCGGCCGATTCATATACATTCCGAAGAAATCATTCACTCAAGAAAACAATTCTTTAAGTACCACAAACTTTAAGTAAATCGTTTGTTACATCATTACGACTTGCCTTCGAAACGATACAGAGGTAGGGATGTCTATGGCCG